CAATTTATCAATTTGAGTTCAATTGTGCATCAGTCAGGTCTCCTGGTATGTTTTAACTAGGAATCAAAGAGATTCTCAGCTTAGCTGTGCTACATGTGACCTCACTCAGATCAGCTCTAATCAAATATCTAAACCTTCTGAGCCAATTAGGATTAAAAACCATTAATACAGATTCTTTGAATCATAGCCTGTGAACTTTGATGCCATTATTATCTTTGAAAAATATCAAATATTTGCTGCTTATAACTTTATATACCAGTTTAACCAGACTCAGTTTAGGAATCCCTGTTATTCCAAGGTAAAATCCCTGATTTAACATGGCTTAAAACGACCATTCAAATAGATATTTAGGAACGATGGTATTCATGTTCTTAGCGACTTAAAATACTGATGCCTTAAACATTAAAAACATGTGATGTCATGTCATATTGTCTAATGTTTGGGAAAACATTTACGTTCCCTTTAGAAAATTACCAGTCTGTCTTAATATAACAGTATTATTACTTTCTTTAACCAAGTGCTTTTAAAGGGAAAGCATTTTAACTTAAAAAAAAAAGGTTTTTTAGTTTTAATAAGTGCATAAATCCAGCTTTAACGTGTTGAAAGTGAATCAAAGAGAGAGAGGCCTTAAAATAAACTGAATTCCTCACTGTGCAGCTCAGGCTGCCAAGTGAAGCAAAGCAGACATGTTTTAAAAAGAGCTACAAGTCATTAAATGACAATCCTGTTGGAGGAAATCATGCTACTCTGTTATAGAACAGTCATTTCTCTGCATCAAGCTATAAAAACACCTCGAATGTTTGCCTCAAATCATGAAACGGTTGATTTTAGGTGGCCTCATTTACAAACCGGGATATGGGCTAAGATAAGCGTCAACAAAAAAATCAATACCGGAAATACATTTAAGATTTACGTATGTTCCTTGCTGTCAACTCATACATACATTTAAAATCAGATTGATCGGTGAGAATTCAAATTTAGAAGTTACAAATTGGCAAAAATGCAAGTTCAAATCCGAAGAACCTACAACACCTGATGAACCTGTTACACTTCTAACCAGCAGGTGGCGGTATTGCATCTGGAAGTTGTTCACCAAACGCCTTTAAATGAGAATATGAACACTGAGCCATCATTCATTCAAACATGATTCTGTGCATGGTATCGGTCAACAAAAGATCCTAAGTTATGCATTTGCTTTCTTCCTCTTATTTTTTTTAAGCCTGCTCTATAAGGAGTGAATTTTGTTTTGTTGTTATTGCAAGAAAAGAACACTTTTTTTGAAATAATAAAAATTCCTCCAGAAATATGACTTTGAAAAAAAACAAAAGCGTCTCAAAAAAAAAAAAAAAAAGTGTTTTAAAAGTATCTTTGCCGTTTTTTCCGATTTCATTTCAACTTAAATGTTATATTTTATTTTTCACAGATTTTGTATGGAATTATTTCTAGAATGAGTTTTACAAATTGCCTTCTACTCAACATGCGAGTCACAGATCACTTTCTCTTCACTTCAGACCAAAATACAAACACTTGCCTTTTATTTCTAACGTAATGCAGACCAACAGAAATGCATCTGTGTCCTCAATCCAGAGGAAAGCACATCCCGAGAAAATTTTAAACCACATATTTACAAATTGTGGTTTGCTTTTCTTTTAAAAATTTCCATTTACAAAACATGTTCTTTGCATGTAACAATAATGGAACAAAACTGACTCCATAGAGGGTAAACAATCTTCAGTTGCTTTAGTGCAACCAACTGGTGAGGAGTCTAACACCGTCATCAGGGGTTTTTAGATTTCTACCCATAATTTTGTGATTTGTACTACAATTTTATTTTTCAAAGTTGTAACTTTTATTCTCACAGATAACAACAACGAACAACTACAAATATTTAATGTATTCACATTTATTTTCTTATCTTAACAAATCAAGAAACGCATATGTTTTTATTATCCTTAGTCAAGAAACATTGATTTTCATTTGGTTTGATCTTATTCAGAACAGGAGGGAAGAAAAAACATTTATAGCACCCTAACAACCACTGATTAATTATACCATTCTAATAACGTTTTATTTTACATAAACATGTACTAATTTGGCTTCTTTAAAAAAAAAAAATAACATATTGACTTTTAAATTGCATTTTTTTCTTGCTGTTGTGGCAAAAATAATTTCCTTTCCGGGAATAAAGTGTGTGTTTTTAATTCTTTGCAGCAGATATGAGATTGTTGCTAAAGGTCCCTTCAGAACCTTTTAAAGAGGAATCCAAAATCTGAGGGAAAACAGCTTCACCCTACAGAAACTCCACGCTGGGAGAGAACGCATGTACACATGGAACATATTATTCTTTTTATAAATATATCAGCCATAGCGCCAACAGATGCAGCAGCCAAACATAAAAAAGCTCCAGCGTACGCATACACACCCACTGTACTCCTCCTCCCCGGCTGTCTCCATCCCTTTGGGCCATTTCTGAGAAGGACACAGCCCTCACTGTTTGTACAGATAAACTCCGCACACACAGAAAAAAAACAACATGTTTCCTTTCTTTTTGCCTTCGCCTCAAACATGGTTGGGTGGCGGGGTAATCTGGGGTTAAACTGCATAAATGCCCCCCACTCCACCCTCCCAATCTCCAGGATCTCTCGTCTCCATTCCTGCGATGCTCTGAAGTGCCGTGTCCGAGGAATGAGCATTCCATTCCACAAGTAACTACAAGTAAAATACCACTGCTAGATTACAGAGCGGCCTGCTGTGCTGACCAAAAGACAAAGCCCTCGCAGCTACAGAGCAAAACTAAACGGGGGATTACAGTCTGAATACAGGTGAAAAGGCAAAGAAAGACAGGCAGAGGAAAAGGCCGACAATGATAGGCACGTTTTAATGATCGAGTCATTAAAATACCAGGTCAGGACTTCTAAAGTTATCACTGTTAGAAATAACTTCAGAGACATGAGATCCGCTGCCAGATTTAAAAAAGCTGGAGCACAATGAATCCACTTTTGTTGCAGTTTATAAAATGGCCACTAGGTGCTGATGTTAAACTAAGAGCCGTCACTTCCTGGCTGAATCTCCTTTTCATCTGTTTTATCACTAAAAAATAAAAGAGAATATAGAAAAGAACTTTCTGAACGTTTCTTTTTATGTCATCTTTTGCTTCTGTTGGTCAAGTTTTGTATCCATAAATGTAAAAATATTATAACTAAACCCTCATGTATCCCTTTTTTAATCATTTTTTCCTACATTATCCTCTTCCAATAACAAAACGGCTGTTAAAACTTTATCTCTATGCTCTAATTCCTAAAATATTTATATAATCCCTTTAAATGCTTCTATGTGTAGCTTTACTTAGGCACTATTACTATTTCTACATTGATTCAGTTTTTTTTTTATTCATTATTACCATTTTTGTTTGAACCCCTGGCGATTGTTCATTGGAAATTGTACTTATATCTTCTTGTATTATAAAAAAATTCTCTAATCAAGCTAAAAAAAACCCATAAATGAACAGCTCAAAAAAAAAAGGAAAACAGCAACAAAGATGTGGATCAATGGTTTTAGGTTTGTTAATAATGCTTTACACTTTCAAACACTGCAGCAGCTCATGCTAACTAAAGGGGTGCAGTTAGTGTATGAATGATAAACAGAAAAAATAAATAAGCAAAATATCTGTTTTTAATTTTTACTTTAAGGCAGACATGTTGGATTTGAAAGTGAACAAAATAAAAAAGGTTAATTCAACATATGATTGTTAAAACTTTGAAAAACCAAACAAAAGAAAAATATATTCTTTTGTTCATTTGAATGTATATAATGCTTAAATATGATACTGTGATGCATGTATTGGATATTTTATTTCTATATTTTAGAAACAAAAACCGGATTACATTTAACTTAAAATCAGTGTGTGCCAGAAAAAAAAAATAATAATAATTATCTGTACATCTTTAAAAAAACAAACTGTGAAGCTTTTTGTGTCTCTGCTTCTGTCTCCTTGAACCCCTGTCGGCCTCAGCAGATGGCCGCTCACACCGAGCCTGGTTCTGCTGGAGGTTTCTTCCTGTTAAAAGGGAGTTTTTCCTCTCTACTGTCGCTACAAGCATGCTTAGTGTGAGGGATTGCATCCATTATTCGATGCAATCAACTGGTTTTCCTTAGATAGAAGCTTTTAATCAATTTTACTGTATGATCTGGTAAACTGTAAAGTGCCTTGAGATGACATGTGTTGTGAGTTGGCGCTATAGAAATAAACTGTAATGAAATTGAATATAAAAATCTCTATTAGTCATCTTTTACTGAGATGTCAACTGTCAAGAAAAAGGTTGAGAACCACCAAGAAAACTTTTAACATGCAGTGAATAAAGATGACAATTCCCAACCTCAATCAACCACCAGCCCTATTTTTTATGTTTTTTTTATTATTATTTAAACAGCCTCAGCCATCATTAGAGCTCCATCATTAGAGCTTAGTCCTTCCTGAAGATGCTCCTGACAGGCTACACTAACTTCACAAACAGCTGCTGCTCAAACACAAGTCCACATGTGAAGAAAAACAGCTCTAATAAACAAAAAACAAAGCATATTTTGATATTATATTTAATGTAATGATTGATGGAAGCATGGCTGTTCAACACATTGAACATTAATAAGCTGTAGAAGTAGCTCATTAACACTTAAAGCGTTGTAAATTGTTTATAACAGAGTTTAATCTCTGTACTTATTTAAAAAGGTTTAACATTACTGGTGGTTTCCTAGATTTAAAACGCATAGAAAGCCCTGTGGCCTCCTCCACTGTACCCCAGGCAGGAGGAGGAGGGGGGCTGAGGGAAGCCACACATTCCTGTACTGGAAAAAAAAATGGAGGCGGCGATGTTAACCCCCAAACAGGCTTAAAACTCACCGAAAACGTCAAATTTTAACCATAAACGATTCCCTGTAGCTACAATTCGCGAAATGTGTCACAGCACCACTCCCCTTCCCCAAAAAAGTAGCTCTCAACTCACCATGTGATAGAAGGAGTAAGGAGAAAGAAAGAAAAAAAAAGTTTAGGACTGGGGTGCAAATCCCGTCCGAAGGCGAGTTTAAACGGCTGCGTCTGCGCCGCTAGAGCCCGTGGGGAGCGGAGGGAGTCAGCGAAGACACAGCGGCGGAGCAAACGTGCTGAAATGAGCCTCCATTTTCTGCTCAGACTCCAGGCAGGATCAGAAATGCAGCACAAAGTTGGACACTCGTTGCATTGTTAACATTCCACGGGTCACGTGACGAACCGACGCACGTCAGCACAGGAGCCAAAGATCGTGTATTAGAACAAACGCTCACTCACTCACTCAAAATTGTAATTAAATCAGAGTTTTATCAGCCATAAATTAGGCAGCTGGGATTTAAATATAGCATATGTGAAAAATTTAGTTAGAAATTTATTCTTGTTCTTTACTTGCTTGATTTTCTACATTTTCATAACTTCACAGCAACACACCCACTTAAAATAAACTGAAAGAAAAAATATTAAGAAATACATTTAGTTATATAAATCGGACATAAAGATTGGCCAAGTTATTCTGTGGATAAAAACAGAAACCCATAAAGGAGTGTTGGTCTGTGGGGTTCTAGACAAAATTGAATTGAACTTGAACTAATTATATTATATTAACATTGTAAAATGTTAATTATACCTAAAAAATTAACGCATTCAATTTATTTTTAAAAATTCCTCAGGCCAATATATACAACACTTGGCATAATCAATACTATGAGCTGGGCTCCCCTCTTCAAATATCGCCTATGTAAGAAAGATAATGGTAATTGAATTGTATTAATCTCACATAGGAGAAATTTACCCCTGTATTTAACTCATCCCCTTGGGGAGCAGTGGGCTGCCATTGTGCTGCAGGGAGCAGTGTGGGGTTAAGGGTCTTGCTCAGGGACCCAGTGGTAGTCTGTGGGAGTGGGGCTCAAACTCAGGACCTCTGGATTCCAAGTGCAATGCCCTGACCACTAGCTCCCCCCTCCCCCAAATGAAATGAAGCAGTGGGGCCAGTGGTTCTTCATGTGGACAAAGAACTAACGAATAACACAAAACAACAAAAAAGAACAAAGCAAAAGAGCTTTTTTTTTATTTTACTAAGTAAGCCACAAACCTGTGATTTCTTAACAATTCTTCAAGTATATTTTAAAATACGAACGATTAAATTGGTCTAAGGGACAAATCGGTTGCAGTCTCTTTTGTCAAAGCTTATCATGAAAAGATTATTCTGTATTTCACTGAAAAAACTGATCCAGAAATATAAACTTTTCTTAAAATCTGTGTATTTGTCCTTAATTTAGGCAGGTAACTGAGATGATCTGCCAAAGGAATGGTGATTTTGGTTCTTAAAACAAGATAATTAGATGTGCACTTGAAATAATAATTGAACTTTTTTGATCTCACATTGGAGAAATTTACCTCTGCATTTAACCCTGAGACCCTCGTGACAGTTTCAAACTCATAACCTCAGGATTCCAAGCTCTACGCCTAACCACTAGGCCGCCAATCCCCTAAGACAGTTATTTTGCTTTTTGATAAAGCATAAATTATTTTATCCCATCTGCAAATTATCTTACATATCTGCTCAAATCAAATTAACATACACCTATCTAAACAAAATATTACAAAAATACTTAGTTTTAAATGTTTTAGTTTTTTTTAGTACAGGGGCCAAAATAGAAGACAAAAACAGTTCACCAGGGGCCAGCCCCTGTTGGCCCCCGTCTAGAACCGCCCAAGTCTGAATTGCTCTTACATCTGCTTTAACAATTCAGCATCTAAAATCATATTTGTCTTTTTCAAGGTGTTTGTTGAGTCTAATCATGTATGTACGGATCTGTAAAAGGTACATTACCAGTAGTTACATTATTATCCTCAAATCAGTAAAAAATACCATGAAAGAAGATTAATGAACATATCAACATGACATAACATAGCCGTGAACATTGCATTTATTGAAAACCTCTGTTTAAATCCAGTTAGTTCCAGGCGCTTAGTGTGAGCCATCTTCATTTTTTTCTCCTCTCTGAATGAACATACTTAAGGTGGAGCCTCTGCAAGCAGTTTTTCCTCCTTCATAAATTAAAATAAATCTGTACATTACTCAGTCACTCCACTTTGACCACAGAGGGAATGTTGACCAATTTGTCAACGAGAACTTGTGAAATCCATTCTTGGTTCATCAAAGACAGCATGGAGGGAAAAAAATTTATTACAAGACGGATGCAGAATTGTTCCCAACTTTGAAAATTAAACTTTATAAAGTTTGGTTTGGGAGGAAGCACACATAAATATAGGGTCAAGTGTGTTATAAATCACTTCATATTAGAAAACATTGAATTTTTTTTTTTTTTAAAGAAATCCTTAAATTTATGGTGTTTTGGGGAATTATAACTGATGTTATTTTTTAAATCACTTTCCATACATTAGCTTCCAAACATGGCATGTGATGCATGTGCTGCCATAGGGCAGCCAGGAATCCAACTGACCAGAAGAAGGAGAAAACTTAAAGGGCCTCAAATGATTCACGTTTCCAGTGCATGAATTGGCAGCTGTTAGGAGGAACAACTTGCCCTGCGTAGTGTGGCGAACAGATGCACATTCTGCCTGGAAACCAACCCCTGCTGGAGCTCACCAAAGCTGAAAAGCTGAAAAGCAAAACCCTGAAAGAAAAAAACAAAATGCAACTTTTTTTTTATATAAGAAATAAAATAAATAACCAGTGGTGTCAAAGGTACACACATTTGTTACTTAAGTATAAGTATAGATACTGCAGTTTAAAAACA